CCCCCCATCTGTTCAAATGACCTGACTATCGTAAGTTGCTCTTATCATCTTTGCACGGTTGTTATCTTTCCATTTTTTCTGACAAATAATATCCCAGAACGGCAGCAGCATTTCAAACACATGCGCGAATTCCTTATTGCACTGAGTTAGGAGACAACTGAGATATAGCGGTGAAAACGTGGGCACTAGAAAGTGTTCTATAGTACTCCTCTAGTCATATTGTACATAACTGGCCACCGACAGCTCTAACCAATGATATTTACTGACTATCAACGGATTATACTGAATATTAGTGAGAACGGAGAACGGATAACTGAAAAAAAAAACCAAGTAACAAAAACAACAACAGTACACTAGCGATCAACTTACGAATATACTTTGGGTAACTGGTGACGGATAAAATCAATGACGGATAACTCCAGTGGGCAGTAACCTAGCAATCACTTGATTGTATTGTGTCTAACTGGTAACCGATAACTGTAATAAGCAGTATACTATGTATATTACAGTAACCGATAACTCCAGTCAACGGTATATCACCCATCATGCGTCTTTATTATGGGTTGGATTATGATAATATGTCTATGTCCTCCCAAATTATCCAGCTGTGGAAAAGTATTTATTTCCAGCTGAAAAAAAATCGGCAGTGTACGAAATTATTTTACTAAATCAGCAGGCAAGACATTAGTAACAACACTGATTTGATCAAAGTTAGATTACTGTAATGCTATTTTGTCCGGTTTGACGGTCGAAAAACTATCAAAGTTACAAGTACTCCAAAACCAAGCAGCAAAATTGATAATGAAACAAAAGAAATCAGCGCACGTAACACCAATTCTGAAAGAACTACTCTCTGGCTGCTAGTAAAAGAAAGGATCAAATACAAACCTACCGTTTCCTGTATTCAATGTATAAATGATACGGCACCTATTTATCTAACAGAATTCCTGGAGTTATATCTTCCACCAAGAATCCTTAGATCAGCCTCTGATAATCGAATTTTTAAAAATTCCTAAACAAAATTCCAAAAAACAAACGGTGAACGTTCCTATTTATTCTTTTGTCCCCCTGTATGGAATCAACTTCCACATAGCGTGTGAGAATGAGAGAGAGGGAGAGAGGGAGAGAGAGAGAGAGAGAGAGAGAGAGAGAGAGAGAGAGAG